ATATGTTTTCTAGAGGGCCAGCCCGGTTGTCGACTGGTTCACAAGTCACAGTGCAGAGGTTGTGGGTTCGATTCCGGCTCTGGCTTTCCTGTGTGGAGTTTTCATGTTCTCCTCAGGTCTGCGTGGGTTTTCTCCGGGTATTCCTCCCACATTCCTAAAACATGCATGACAGGCTGATTGAACACTCGAAATTGTCTCAAGGTGTGAGTGCGAGCGCGGATGGTTGTTCGTCTCTTGTGTGCCCTGCGATTGATTGGCAACTGGTTCAGGGTGTCCCCCGCCTACCGCCCGAAGACGGCTGGGATCGTCTCCAGCACCCCCCGCGACCCTTGTGAGGATGAGCGGATCAGAAAATGGATTCGGTATGACTAAATCTTAGTACCAACAGCAAAAAAGCCATATCCACGTGATTCGTCCCGCTGACCATTACGGAATAGCGCCTGAGGTTCAGAGGTAACCACCGTCACATTCGAGTACCAATGCAAAGTTGAACAAAAGTCGAGCGTCGCAGCCGAAGTCACCAATCCTGAAAATGATCCTTGCCAGCCTATGAAACGTCGCTCCAATCTTGACTCGTTCAAAACATCGAGTTACCCATTTATAAATACACCAAGCGCAACTCAATCTTTTATTCGAATCGAAACGATTTGCAGCATTGATTGCTCAATACGCCATAACAAAGGAATTGCAAGTTGTTGCATCATCGGAGCGAACTGGCTCAATCTGATTTTGATTTAGCGGTAATTGGATCTTCGTGGCTCGAATCTCCACAGGCTGCTTTATCTCTGCCCTCCTCTATTCAAATGAATAACATTTTGAAGCGCCGCTTGGCCCGAAGCTAAATGATGGATTAGTCAATCTTGCTTTTTGGACGCAAGGACAGAGGAGATCCCGGCAGAGGAGCGAAAAGATGGATGATTTCGGAGGGGGGGGAAACAAACTCAGGATTGTCCACCCGCTCTTGCTTGAGTTTCACATCCTTACATAATCTCCCGCCTGTGTTACATGCGGGGCCAAGGCCATCAATCATGGGGAGAGTCAGTAGTCAGGAAAACAAGTGGCTTTTTTTTTCATATTTAAGTGGGTGTGATGGAAGATGCGTTTTTGCACGGATGTCATCGCAAAAGTCCGACTGAAGCTTTCCAGCTGCTTCTTTTTGAAGCTCTCAACCAAAGCCAAGCCAATGCGCATGACCGTAAAGAAATGCAATCGGCGATCTGTGAATTTACCTCTTTGAGAACCCCCGCGAAAAGAAAAGAAGCCCCAAGTGTTGCTCCGGGCCTTTTGTGTCGACGTTCTTTCAGGAAATGACAAGCGACGATGCCGTCGCCGACATCACCGTGGGAACCAATGTGGGCCTGTCATGACTTCCTGCCGCTGATATGCACTTGAAGCACCAAAGGGCCAAAGGTGTCAATTTCCTCTTTGACACATGAAAGCTCACTGATCCAACTGAACTCTTCCAAGGGTCCGCTGTCGCTGCGCATGGTTTTGCTTTCCGGTTGGGCGGTTACAAACTTTGTTGCTGTTTTTGTGAGCTGTCAAAAGAGCTCTTCTGAGGGCCTCATTAAAAATAAAGAAAACTCCACATTAAATGTCAAACCAGCTATTACCTAACGCGACAACCGCACAGCGTCTGGTAGGGAGATTAATGTACGTGGTAAATCTCTTTTGGTCGCGTGACATTTTTCCTCGCTCCGTAATGGCTTCGAAAAGACTCCCGACGGTGGATTTCAAAGCTCTTTGTGTTTGTTTTGTCGCACCGCATCATCACCTCGTAGACGTTCGGCCACTGTGGCCACACACGTGGCCGGCAGGTGGGTTCAATCTCAAAGGAATGATGCCATTTTTGTTACACTCTGATCAAATGTTCGCGTCGCAGTCACTTTTTGTCCGGTCCGACGCGATGAGCCATGATTTAGAGCAAGGCGAGGAGGACGCAGCCGTTATAAACATTATCGTATTCGCTCCCTGTTTGTTTTACGGGCCGATAGTTTATGGTCCCAAACGCTAGCAGAGAGTTGGAGAAAAATGGCCGCCGACCACCATCATAAAAAAATGATGGATGCTGTAACCTTCGTAGGATCCAGTTCCCGTTTACCCCCCTGCAAATAAACGTTTGCGCTATTATGCCTTTTCAGGACCTGTTTGAAGGATACAGCCGCTGCAGCAATTAGTTTCATTCGAGTTCCTCTCAAAGGTGTTTGATCAGGTTGAAGAATGGATCGACGCAGTCGAGCTCAAGCCGTTCCCGCAAAGTTGGACGCGTCGACCGGTTTTCGTAAAGAACCCGTGTTCGGCAGACGGACGGCACTCAAGAGACGGAGAAGTTGAAAGGAATCTGGCAGAAGACATTCGGTGAAGGGTTTTGAAGGTTTTGGAAGATAATGAAACAATCCATCAGGAAGCGGAAAACGCGATGCAAGTGCTACTCTGGTTTCTTCGCTATCCTGTGTGAAAAGGGAAAATTGTTTTTTTGGGGGTTTTTTTTTTGCAAGACAAGCCAAAATTATGTCATGGCCTTTATTCCTCTTATCTGTCGCAAAATTACAGAGTAGCCCACAAACAAGTCAAATCGCTCCTTCATCACGATGAGCAGAAAAATCTCACATTTGGACAAGGTCCGGATATGGCCAAACTCCTCAGATACGACAGAAAAAAAAAGGCTCCTTTCATTTGCTCTGACTAGATGAGCGCCGAGGGAGAAGAAAAGAAGGCCACGATGTTTCCTCTTCCAAGATGTGTTCAGTGAATGCTTGCATAAATCCCTCGAAACGTGGATTAGCAAAAATATCTTTTCCTCTTCGCTTCCATTCAGACAGAAGCGGGTCTTCAAAAAGGTCTGCCCTTATTTAAACGTTGGACGTGGATTTAATCAAAGGCAGGCCTGCCCGGAACACGAGTCCAAGTTTTTGCGCTTTGCTAGCTAGCATGATCGGAGTTTCTCGCTTTTGTTTTTGTTCTTTCCCTCCTTGGAAGCTGGCACGATGTCAATGACATAACATAAGGCTGCCGTTGATTCATGCATGACGCGGCGTTAACCCCCGAAACTCACTTCCTCTCCGCTTCCCCGCACGAGACTTTGGAATAATCGAACTGGCCTCGGAGGCTAATGAGTCGTCGTCCCCGTTGTTGTCTTCTTGACTTTCGTCACTTGCCCTTCGTCACACCCGCGCGTATTTTGAGCTCGTGCGGATACCTGCCGGAGGGATGGCCGTTGGTTTAACCTCTGTCAAGTTTGCGCACGGCTTCAATGTGATGTTTTGCGGGAGCTATGATGTCATACGGCGGCCCTTCCAAACACAACCGCAGTCCCTTTCTCGGGCTTGAGGCGTTCCAGCGGTTAGTAAGTTTGAATCGTCAGCGCCGGTGGGCAGGGACGACGCGCTTCGGTGCAAATGCTGGACAATTGTGTCTTAAATCTCGTGTTTTGTTGGATTTTGATGAAGTGTCCTCGTGTCGGCCATTTGCGTCGCCATATTCAATCTATTAAATGTGCATTGATAGGTTTTGCGGGGGTCTTGAGACCGCTTGGGAAACGTGGAGTTGAGCCATGCGATTAGCTTTTCTCACATGTATAAAGTGAATTTTAGTGGTTTTCATATCTGACTGGCATGCTTCCAACGTCGAGTTATTTTGCTGGTGGCTAGGGGGGGAAAAAAAAATCTGCTTTCAGAGATTAATACATCGACCCCAACCCTTTAAATCAAATTTGATCCAACTGACTTAAGAGAAGAAGTTTTTCTCACAGAGGGCCTCACGGACGCAATTTTTGTACCGCTTTGGAACCACTAAGGTCAAAAAAAATGTGTTCTCGGACGAATAGTTTGGGGTTTTTCCATTGTAGTCGATAAGTATATTTTCATTTCGACTTTATTTTTAAATGTTTTATTTTATTTTTTTGTAATTCAGTTCGTACTAAATAGTTTTTTTAGTGCAGCTTTGTTAGTTTTTATTTGTTTTTATTTTGGGGGCAAAATGCTTCATTCTAGTTGAGTTTAGTCCTGTGTCATCAAGTAATCTTACTTTATGACAAATTCTCAAAACGAACTGATCTTCCTTCCTCTGTACGGACGTACGGCAACGCAACCCTTTAAATCAAATTTGATCCAACTGACTTAAGAGAAGAAGTTTTTCTCACAGAGGGCCTCACGGACGCAATTTTTGTACCGCTTTGGAACCACTAAGGTCAAACAAAATGTGTTCTCGGACGAATAGTTTGGGGTTTTTCCATTGTAGTCGATAAGTATATTTTCATTTCGACTTTATTTTTAAATGTTTTATTTATTTTATTTTTTTGTAATTCAGTTAGTACTAAATCGTTTTTTAGCGCAGGTTTGTTAGTTTTTGTTTTTATTTTGGGAGCAAAATGCTTCATTCTAGTTGAGTTTAGTCCTGTGTCATCAAGTAATCTTACTTTATGACAAATTCTCCAAACAAACTGATCTTCCTTCCTCTGTCCGGACGTACGGCAACACCAAAATAAATTCACTTAAAATCAACCCTGAAAGCTCCTGTACGGCATGCCTTGACGAAGACGAGCACGTGCCGTACCTGCCCTGGCATTTTTTCAGTCGACGCGAGAATCCCCTCCCGCGTCGTCCGCTCGACTCTCTCTTAACTTGGCAAAGGTAGTCGCCCCGTGTCATTGCTGGGTGTTTACGAGCCTCGGAGAGCAGCTGCGGGCCCCCCTGATCTGTGAATCCTCGAGAATGCGGGTCCTGCTGTGTTGCTAATGGGCCCTGTCCAACATTCCTCCCGCCTGTCCACCGCCACACGAGACGGGAGACTCGCTGATGTCCGATGACATCACATCCTTCCCACATGTCGCCTGTCAAGAAGCACTTAAATGATTGCACGCAAAAACAAATGTTTTCCTACGTTGTTCACCTGCCTAGCGAAATGAATCATTCCAGTGTTTTTGCAGCGCTTGGATTTACATTTACTCGTTACGTTCTAGTTAGCCCGAGGACACCGCTGATGGAATCTCTTGTTTCCAGGTTTTCGTGTGGGCCGACAATGGAGATGCAGTGTTCATTCGAGAGTTCACCCTAATTCGACCAGACCACTTCTCCGAGGAGCCTCCCCACGACACCAGCCAAAAACCTGAGGATCCGGTAAATGATTTTTAATTCCATGTCAGGACGATTTGTATACATTCCTTAATAATTCCAACGGAACGGAATGGCCGTGTCCCATGGAAGCCAGCACCTGCCGATAAATCAAATGTGTTTACGCACGGGGGAGGATTCCGCTTGCTAATGATGTGACTGTCGGTTTGAACGTGAAGCATTGCAGCGGATGCAAATTCACACTCGCAAAAAACCCGATACGGCGAAACCCCGCTCTTGGCGAGGGATGGCGACCTGATCTGAGCTGTCCATTAAGCCGCGACATCCCTTCTACAAACGCGCCACCGCCAGCTACCGGATCATTTGTTCTGTGTGGACGTTGTCATGCATATGACATTTTCTGTTTCCGAGTGAAATAAATGAGTTGATATTCCTTGAAATGATGCCTGCCCCAGAAAAAAAAAACTTTGCGGGCTTGGAAGGCCGACTACATGAAAAGCGAATGAGTGATGTCAGCAGAGACTCGTTAGCCCTTGTGTATCATGCTAACACGTCTTAAGACCGGGAGGCCGCAGACTCCCTGGAGCCGTATTTGTGATTCCTTTCAGCACTCACTTGGTCTCGGACTCCATGTTCCTTGTTGGATCTTGGTTCAATATTGAGCTTGATTCGCGGCCAAGATAAACACGGCTTAATTAGCGAGCGCTCCGGGAGGCGGATCGCGGCCTCCGATGAGTATTCGCTTTGACTTCTGTGAGTACGCCAGGGTCACTTGGCACGCATTAAAGGCTGACCTAGCCTGCACCCTTTACCGCGTCCCTCGGGAAGGGGGGCCGACAGGTTTGCTCTCTCCTGGTTTTCCTCGCCGACGCTTTCCGATATACTTCAGCGGACGTGAATGAGCTTCGAGCGAATCGGCATCCACAGACAAAGAGTCGTAGTCCATCGTTGCTCTGATGACTGAAATGTTGGCCGACTCCCCGTTTTTTTTTCCACTCGGGGAAATTTTCCCAGATGATTTGCTCCTGTTCTTCAAGTTCAAAAGCAGTCAAATAAATGCCAGCGTAGGTGAACGCTTTCAAAGGCCTGGTTGTGAGATTTGAGGCGTGGGAGAGGAAAACTCTTGGTGATTGAACAAAAGAGGAGTGAGGTGGTGACAGGATAAAGCGTGTGGATTTCTGCTCAGCCGGCTACCGTCTAGACGGCAAATGCGTTCATCCTTTAGATAGACCACTTTGAAGCGAAAGGTGAGCTCTCGTTTCGCGTGAGCTTGTTTGGAAGCCTATTTGTTGGACAAATACGGCTTGGCTTCACACCAGTGCTGACCGAGCTGGACGGAGGCTGCGGCATGAATGTGCATAGGGTTTGACAAAAATAACAGCTAACGCGGAAACAACTCACAAGTTTATGGCCAAGATGCTTTGACTGCAGCTTTGGGTCAAATGTGGGGGGGATGATCCCGACCAAAACCAGTCAGGATGTGCAATAGTTTATGACGGTGAAGTGGTTATAATGACAGCCTTGAGTCAGCGGTTTTAGACACGGATACGTCCTCATACTGCAGGTTGAAAAAGTGCCAAATTGTTGTTGTTGTTGTTGTTGTTATTTTTGTATCATCCAGCGCAAGTCGGGAAAGTATGGCAAAGGGCAAGCAGGATGTGCACTCGGTGGCCCAGCCTCACATCCCGTGTTTAGCTTCTACATCAGGGATGGGCAACGAGGGTCATGGAGCCTGCAACCACAGTCTGAGTGGCCCCTTGTTTAAAAAAAATAATAATAATTAAATTGTGGTTTTTTTTAACATAAAAATGCAAATAAACATACAATATATGTTTTCTATGAAAAAAAAATGGGTGGAAATCGGGGGAGACAAACCCTGAAAAAAATGGGGGAAAAATTTATCCATCCATCCATTATTTAAACCGCTTATCCAAAATATAAAATGAGAATGCAAATTCGTAGGTGCCATAGGTATAAGTGTCCACTGTAGTTTTAAGTTGTTATATCCTGCCCTATACTACAACGTGAGTCGGCCTATTATTTTTGGGGGGGCATATTTGGAATAATATGTAGGTCAAACGGGACCTAAATCAAATTTTTAGTGAATTGGTTTTTGTGACAAAAAATGTGCTGAATGAGTTCTTGCACTAAATGTTGGTTTCTTGGTTTTGTGCCGTCGTTCAATTTTATTTCTTTTTTTTCTTTTTTTTTTATGCAAGAGAACCCTTCGCACATGAAAAGAAATGATAGCATTTGCTTATTTTGGTGTTTGGATGTCTTCTTCATGCATAGAAAAATGTATTATCAGAATTGAAATAGATCAAGTACGCGTATTATATTTTTCTATCAATTAGGATTGATGAAAAATTGTGCCCCCCACCCCTCCCGCCCCAGCATTTATATAGCCCATCCCTGCTCCACATCAAGGTGCACAATTAAGCACTGCGTTTATCTTTGTTAGGCAAGTATGCATGTTAGTTTTTGGCAAGTGCTGCTGATGTTTGGCTCAAGCTTTTTCTCTCAATGTGCACCTTGGATTTGAACCTTGCCTTGGTATACACGCAGCAGCACATCCATACAGTCATGCTTCTGTCGAGAAACAACACTTTGATTCATCCGTCCGTCCAATTTCCATACTGCGTATCCTCCGGGTGGCTCTCAGGTGATCTGAAGCCCATCCGAGCTGACATTTTGAGCAAGAATAAATCCAACTTGAATGTTGAAATGATGGCTCTCAGGTGATCTGAAGCCCATCCGAGCTGACTTTGTGAGAGAATAAATCCAACTTGAATGTTGAAATGTTGAAATGTTTGCAACAAAAGACAGCGATTCTTTGCAGAGTAAGAAACGATGCCATGAAAAGCACGGAATGGTTGTTCGGGGAAGGAGCCCATATTTGCCTCGCTGACATGTTTGCTTTGACTAACCCCGTGTAAATTTACAAAATGCTGTTTGGACAGAAGCTCCCGAGCAATGAATGTGGTGTCGAGCCACGTGGCGTTGGCTCATTGAAGCCTTCTGTCATCCCCCCCCCCGTGTGTTTGTTCCATCAACATCGGCCCTCAGTAAATCCCTGGCAAGCCACGCGACCACCCCCGGCTTCATGTGGTCTTGCACCATTTCACTGTGGGTACTGGAGTTATGCTGTTGAGGTACAAGGCCTCACCACATAACAAGTGTGGGTTTGTGTGCAGCCAGTCGTTGGCCAGCTACTGTTTTGTGCATATTTTGCTGTGTTTTTAGATCCACACACGTCACTGCCACATTGCGTCCTGTAGGTCGAGTTCGCCGATTTGGTGCACCGACGCCGTGGCGAAAAGTCGGGAACCCAATCCTGATTAAGGGTTTGAAGGGTTTGTTCAGGGGTGGCCCGGTGGTCCAGTGGTTAGCGCGTTGAACCCACAGTGCAGAGGTACCGGGTTCAATTCCAGCTCCGGCCTCCCTGTGTGGAGTTTGCATGTTCCCCCTGGGCCTGCGTGGGTTTTTTCCGGGTACTCCGGTTTTCTCCCACATTTCAAAAACATGCATGGCAGGCTCCAAATTGTCCCTCGGTGTGAGTGTGAGCGCAGATGGTTGTTCGTCTCTGTGTGCCCTGCGATAGGCTGGCAACCGGTTCAGGGTGTCCCCCGCCTACTGCCCGAAGACAACTGGGATAGGCTCCAGCAATCCCCGCGACCCTTGTGAGGGTAAGCGGATCGGAAAATGGATGGATGGATGGATGGGTTTGTCCATCTGAGCTGCTCTGTACCCCCCCCCCCACACACACACATGATATCTGCTCCTCTTCACCACCTCAAGACCCGCGCACCTTTCCCGGGGTCAAGCGATGCGTATGTAATCGTTTCCATATCAGGTCGCACCAATGTTTATACCCCGCCTGCATTTCCATAAACAGAGATGCTTGTACAACTGGGGAAAAGAAAACGTCTCATCCAAGGATTCTTGGATGTCCTTGGCTGCGCCTTGGCACCGCACACTCCAGTGGACTCCAAAAGGAGCTGATTGTTACTGTTAAGCCTCTCCTCGTTCGCTGTCTTGGGATGGCAAAACATGTTTTCTTTCAAAGGGAAGTCCCCAAACGCCTCGCTTGCTTTTGGCCGCAAGCGCTGTTTAAAAAAAATGAGTTCCAGGCCCACCTATTTTAGCATGTTTATTATCTATCACTGTGTGGCACTTTAATAAAGGTGAAGAGGCACAGAAACGGCACGGCGTGAGCTTCTGCATGAATCGCTCATTATGGGCACTTGGCTCGGACGGCCCGCTTGTAATCTCCAGTGTAAGCAACGGCGTTATCCCGACTGTAATTACCTGCCGCTGAAAGATCCCCCCGCCACCCATGCGGAGCGGCGTATAGGTTAACCACTGGGCAACATGCAAACCAAAACGTATCGCTTTCTTTTAATGTGGGCTTTAATGGCTCGAGTGGCTGGGAGAGAGTTGAGAATGAAGTGTTTTTCAAGCCCGGAAAGATGTCATGTTCCACTCGCG